AAACCCTAGCGGCTTCATATCCTGATCCTTAGGGGAAGCAATCAAGGGCCTGCAGGCCGTGCCGTGCTTCCTAAATTGTAGTTTTAGAATTTTTGGTGCGCTTCTTCCTTTATTGTTTCTTGGACTAACCCAAGAGCTGCGAATGTTGAATAAGAATCAGTCAGAGGGTAGATATTTCTATAGCTCTTAATACACGCCTTTTAAGGTGAAGACCACCTTGAAAAACATCAATGCTCAATATTTTTGTCTTTCCTCTTGTTAATTTCTTTTCCAGGTCGGACTTTTCAATTCCGACGACAACTCTCTCTCTAGTTCCTTCCTTGACCTTTGCACATTTTTTTATCTTCCTCGCTCCAAATCCCTGATCTTTCTTCCCCTTGTTGTCGCTTCTTCCCTCACATGCCTGCAAAACCCAAACCCCATGCCTGTGGTCATTCTTGGCGGCCGACGAGCCACCCTCCTCAAAATCACCCACGAGGGAGTGACGGATGCATTGATATCAGCGATGATCATAGAATCTCGTCTTCAGTCATGGGATCGGGACCCATTTCTCTGAAAGAGCTACTACGTAGTGGTCAAGCCTTAATACGAATTAGGTGTATATGGTGGTTATTAATATGAACCTATTTAGGAGTGCTTCTCGTAGTTAATGCATCTCCATTAAAAATAAAAATCACGTTGAAGCTACTATTTAGGAGTGCTCAACTCTATAATATACCCGGTTTGTCAGAAAATGAAATTAGTTGGAAGAAGAAATTAAAATTGACAAACACTAATTTGCAAAATAATTCGTAGGATGAATAAACTATTTAAGAGATTAGTTTCTTTTTCAACACAAAATAGTAATAATTAATAGGAAAAATTCGTCACCTTGTCTCTCTCACGTATGTGGCCTCATCCACTGCCCAATATTTTTCTCTGTCTTGGGACAAGAAGCATCCAAAGTCCACATAAGTGCGCGCACCACGTAATTACTTGGAAGACTCTTTTTATTGTAAGTCAACACGCCTCGGGAAAAACATATCGGCTCAAGCCACAACGTTAAGCACTAGGCACAAAAATCAATAGACGAACAGCTTCATTATTACATATTTATATAAATTGATGAGAACATATCTAAGTTAGCCATTTGCCAATTGATAAAAAAGATTGAGCCGAATATATCAATATTGATGTAGAGATACAGAATTCAATTTTATCTTGAACATTTCTAAAGTGTGTAAGGCAGCATGTATCAAAATGTCTCATCCCTCCAAAAAAAAAAAAAACTAACACACGCGAAAAAAAGGGGTCATAGACGTCGTATTGCTCAAACTGAACATCCTTGGATTTGAGAGGAACACACTCTCCAAGATAGATGAATAAATTATGTAGTAATTTTCCGGTTGATCTTGGTCAAACCTTAAGTGAAAAATTAGGTGTTGATGACAAGTAAGGACAAGAAGGAAGTGCAGGGTGTGAGAGCTAAGGAGGAAAAACAAAATCATGCTAGATCAGGGCGAAAGATGAGAGGCAGTAAATCCAAGCGAATCCTACATGGTGATAAAGTTTTTTGTCCATTACTTATTTCGAAGGAGTGGCCGGGCCCATTACTCTCCTCTCTACTTCATTGTCAAGTTACCAATTAATCATTTAAACAAATCCATTGATTTCACAATTTGCTAAGCAACCCAAAGCCAAATTAATAAATAAAAATTTTCAATTGTTTCCGACAAATGTTTTTGCTTGGTTTAGTTTAGCCAGGCAGCTATAGCTTAATAAAAACATAACCAGATACTTACAAACTTTTCCACCCACAAGCATAATCGAGGCACATACAAATCCTCTCTTTTAAAAGTCACCTAAATAATTACCTTCCTAATTTGACTTAACTGAACATATTTTACTAATAATTGAAAGAAGCTATTAATTTTGATGAAAATGAGCGTGTCACAGATGAATGCTTCTATATGAAACCATCCACTTAGACCATAGATTCTCACAACGAGTTGGACCCCAGTAAACACTATGCTGTAATTTGTCGTTGACAATTGAAAAAGTTTCAATCATTGATGAAAGCATTAGCAGCGAGGTGAAATTTTGTCCTACACAAGAATGCAACTGAGCACATCAATCAGATTCAAGTCTTAAAGTATATAAATCTATTGAATGAGTATATTAATTCTGTATGATATGAGATTAAAGTAATTCACCGCTGATTTCACCGATTAGATATGAGTCAATCAATTTCCTTGATTCATAATTGAACTTATGCATCAAACAATGTAACATCAAAAACATTTCATGGCTTTGATGTAGGACTATGAGTCCCACAATAAAGAATAACTATTTAGGCATCACATGCAAAACTGCCTAAGCATCACACCAAAGATGAATTGCATCACACAATCTGCAAAGCAAACACTTGCCAATTTCAATATCAACTCTATGAAAAGTAAAAATTACAACTATATTTGTAGACTCTCTAAAAGTTCTACTCCTAGTGGAAATAGGAAACCTCTAAACAAGAAACATAATTGGAGTATATGTAAGATCCTACTACTCAAGCTTAAAAAACAAAAAATGGAAACTTCGTAAAATCCTAATACTACTCAAATCCAAGTTGATAATTTTAGTGTTTTAACTTCAAGAAGAATCCTGATCCTTGTTTGAGCTTCAAAGTCAATCTTCAGCCAAAACTTGGTAGTCATCTTGCATGATTTTGTTGGTTGCGTCAGGCTTAGTGCATGGTTTGATTGTCTTATACTAAATTCTATGAATGGGAATCCAATTACAATACTATGTACACGATCTTTGTGTCCTTGCAGCCAAATGGGTACATATTTGACAAAAGAAAAATAATTTGTAGCAATATCTCATGTCTGGAAATAATAACATTAGTCGACTTTGAAGTATCTTTATCATTAGTTCTTACCTAACAATAAAAATAACACCATACTTTACAATTAATTTACATCTGTCATGCAATACCAATCTCAAACATTATATCAGATTTTATGATTCCATTAGATGAAATTCACTATCCACAATCCATAGATTTAATTTTTTGTTTCATGACTCATATTTCCATGTGACAACTAAGGGTGACCCTAAGTGGTTATCATGTCATATCAAAATTGTGGCTACCTACTTAATAGTTAACACAATTGATAAACGAATATTGTTCCGAGTGCAAAGCTCAGACCGCGAAACTGTAATCTATCTATCTAAACAATAGTGCCAACTCGATTAACAAGCTGACCTATCACGACCTGTTTATATTTATTTTATTAAGTTCTCTAATAATAATCATCCATGAATTTTGTTTCCATAGTGGTTACAATTTGATGACACCATATAAATATAACATTTCATGTAAACCTAGGATTTTGTAAGCTTACGACTAGTTTCTTTTCAAACTTATTTGACATTGATGACAATATGCATATTGTACATATGCCATGTCGGTCATGTTAGGATTGGAATGACCCATTCAATTCAATCTAATTAGTTAAACGGGTTATTCATCTCTTGTAATTTGTTGACCTTTTTAACAAAAGGGTCATGTTCAAACATCAATTTTTGTTAATCTTATCCTGCTCAGATTGACGTATCTAGCAATCCATTGTTAACTTGACATTGACAGACATGACCAATGAAATTGGATTGCCATCTCCATTAGCATCTGAATGTTCGCTGAGCAAGTCTGCTGTTTGCATTGCATCATGCAGATTTTGAGCAATTCAGAATCTTTCCCACAAGAGATCAGAGAAGAACACATTCTGATGATAAAGGACTGTTGCAGGAGGAATTTCTAGTTGAGAAGTACTGAGGGTAACATTCAAGTAACAACATAGAAAACTTACTTCGACATCATGCAGTAAAATCGTTTAGTCTTCAAGTCCCAAGACAACAACCTTGTCATCAGGACGCCAACATAATGATGTTATACATTTACCTGGAGTAGATTAGAATGATTAAGAAGAGCTAGTATTGATGACACACATTGAAAGGTGCAAAGAGAGTGAGTTCATTATAAACAAAAAAGAACACACAGAGAGAGAGAGAGAGAGAGAGAGAGAGAGAGAGAGAATGAATAATCTGTTCCCAATAAAATTAGCAGAAGAAGAGAAATAGTGCACACACATTAACCAACAAAATGTTAATCAAATTTTTTGAAGTGAGGCAAAACGTATTAACTGTACAAAATAACGGAGAGGGATATCGGTCACTTGATAGAGGATTTCTTTGGGCTAGAAGGTCCTAAAGCGAGGGAATCTATATCTTGTTGGCAGGCTCCAATCCAATAACTGAATCAAAAAAAAAAAATTGTTGCCCAACCATGGAACCTCAAGGTGGATTGGATGCACGTAAAGCTTACTTCAGGCGAGGATTACAAGTGTACTAGTATTTACAACTTAGTCTTAACAGAACCATTCAAGGATTGGCTCAAGTACTAAATTGCACTCAAAACATTCTCAATATCCAGAAGACAATATGACGAGGGAAGCATTCAGATGTTTCTGGAGAAAAAATATCCTCTCTAAATTTTTCCAGTGAGAATTGATAGCAAGAACTAGCAAGGCTAGGCATCTAATCCTAAGCTCTTACAAATTCGAATTACCAAAAGATGAAGTCATATAGGATCTTAAAATACTTGGATACAGCTCCCCTTACCCTCCTAGTCTCTTTGCTTTCTACAATTGCTCCCTCCGTCCCTCTCGACCAGATTGTCGTACAAGTACACAGCATAGCTCGAGATATATCCTATTCAAAAGTTCAACTCCCACCAGCGAACTTGATTAATCAAAATGATGTGACGAAATGCCCTTCTGTAATGAGAAGAAGATTAATTAAACTTCAAGCAATACAAAATGTGAGAAACTTTCCGCCTATAGTCTATATTTCAAGATCCACTAAATCTCTCCTTGTAGGGCACGCTCGCCGGTAAAAGAATGCTCAATCGGTAAAAGAAGAGGAGCCAGCAGTAAAATTACATTGTGAGAGTCACCATCGAAATCTAAGAAGATCCTTTTAGATGCCTGATGAACATTTAGATGGTATTCTGCAGGGGCTAAACCTGCGAACTCCCAAGTGTGCATCAAGCATTTCTGCATCTGACATATCAAACCTATCAAGCATAAAGGACGTCCCCTCCAATTCATGTTCTTTAATTTCATGGACGCTTTGACTGGTGTACCGAAAAGGGTAACAACTCCTTAGTTCTCTAGATCTCCACTCGCATCACCATCATTCACTCTTCGTTTCTGTGTAAAAAGACCAACTCCTCAATTCGATGTCACCTTCTCATTTAGACTTCCAAGCGCTTCATACCTCTATATTCGTCCAATTCTCCATCGAACGCAATTCGAGCTAGATCGGCAATTACAGATGCTCCTATGGCGAAAAAGGAAGCGAAGCACATTTAGGAAAAGCGAAAGAAGTAAAAAGAACTTTCTCGACAACATCTTTATCTCCACTACAAAGGATATAGAACATTGCTTTGAAGAATTTGAGAGCTCAACAAATGAATCTGGACCATCATCAGTTAAACCAGCACCTCTGGGTACTAGTCCAAGCATGCGAGGAACTCTTGGAGCTGGAGGGAAATATCGAATAGTGCGATCTTCAAACGCCAAAGAGTTACCAGAAGCGTTCTATAAAACAAATGAATAATTACCTTCTGATTCGAAAATAAAACGATGAAAAAATATGAGATTAAAGCTAAGGAGCCAAACAAATCAACAAGTTGCAGATGACACCAAGCATACACTTTCAAAATTTTTTCCATAAACCCATACTAAAGCTGTTGGACTATGAAATAAGAATCTAAGTTTGAAAAAGAAGTTTTTAAGAAAAAGAACTCCTTGACTGCAAATGAAGCATTATGACAGGTGTGAGCCATAAAATACTCGCTATTGGTTATAAAGATCACAAAGTTGTATCGACTTTTAAGTTGAAAGATTCATACTCTATTCACTTGGGCATCCTCCTCCCAGTTGAGACACACCCCAGTTGCCACATGGGACTTTAAGCTTCTAAACAGTTTTCCATTCTGCTTAATATTTATACCATGTTAAAAATGATTATACCATAGTGTGCATAACTACTGCAAGCACTAGCATATTAAAAGCAGCACCCTCATATACATAGTTCCACAAAGACAGCTACTTTGGTAAGATAACATTAATTATGTACAAGCAATCTCTCTTCTCAGTAAAATGTAATCCATGAAGTGGACGATTAGCGATAAACTGGTAGAAATCTCAAAGAAACAGAATTGCAGCAGCCTCGGGCATTCTACTCATGACCAAGCAACTATAGCTTAATAAAACATAACCAGTTATTTAAAAACTTTTCCACCCACAAGCATAATTGATGCACATACAAATCCTATCATTTAAGTCTCACCTAAATAATTACTTCCTAATTTGACTGAACTGAACATATTTTACTAATAATTGAGAGAAGCTATCAATTTTGATGAAAATGAGCATGTCTCAGATGAATGCTTCTATATGATGCCATCCACTTGACCATAGATTCTCACAATGAGCTGGATCCCAGTAAACACTATGCTGTAATTCGTTGTTGACAACTGAAATAGTTACAATCATTGATGACAACACTAGCAGCGACATCAATATTTTGTCCTACACAAGAATGCAATTGAGCACATCAACCAGATTCAACTCCTAAAATATATAAATCTATTGAATGAGTATATTAATTCTGTGTGATATGTGATTAAAGTGATTCACTGTTCGATGTAGGAGATGAGTCCCACAATAAAGAACAAATATTTAGGCATCACAAGCAAAACTGCCTAAGCATCACACCTAGAGTTTCTTAAGCATCACACCAAAGAGGAATTGCATCACACAATCTGCAAAGCAAACACTTGTCAAGTTCAATAAATTATCAACTCTAATGCAAAGTAAATATTCAAACTATATTTGTACTCTCTAAAAGTTCTACTCCTAGTTGAAATAGGAAACCTCTAAACAAGAAACATAATTGGAGTATACATAAGATCCTACTACTCAAACTCTAAAAGAAAAAGGAAACTTCATAAAATCCTAATAATACTCAAATCCTAGTTGATAATTTTAGTGATTAAACTTCAAGAAGAATCCTGATCCTTTGTTTGAGTTTCAAAGTCAATCTTCACCAAAAACTTGGTAGTCATCTTGCATGATTTTGTTGGCTGCATCAGGTTTAGTGGATGGTTTGATTGTCTTATACTAAATTCTATGAAAGGGAATCCAATTACAATACTATGTAGACAATATTTGTGTCCTTGCAGTCAAATGGGTACTTATTTGACAAAAGAAAAGTAATTTCTACCAAAATCTCAGTCTGGAAATAATAACATTAGTCAAATTTAAAGTATTTTCATCTTAGTTATTACCTAACAATTAGTTTACATCTGTCATGGAATACCAATCTCAAACATTATATCAGATTTTTATGATTCCATTGGATGAAATTCATGATCCACAATGCATAGACTTAATTTTTTGATTCATGACTCGTATTTCCATGAGCTAACTAAGGGTGACCCTAAGTGTTTATCATGTCGTATCAAAATTGTGGCTACCTACTTAACAGTTAACACAATTAATAAACGAATATTTTTCTGGGTTCAAAGTTCAAACCACGAAACACAAATTGAATAATGTAATCTATCTAACTAAACAAAAGTGCCAACTTGATTAACTTGTCCTATCATGACCTTTTTATATTTAGTTCAGTAAGTTCTCTAATAATAAATCATACATGAATTTTGTTTCCATAGTGGTTACAAATTACAATTTGATGACACCATATAAATATAACATTTCATGTAAACCTAGGATTTTTGTAAGCTTATGGGTAGTTTCTTTTCAAACTTATTTGACATTGATGGAGATATGCATATTGTACACATGCCGTGTCGGCCATGTTAGGATTGCAATGACCCATTCAATTTGATCTAATTACTTAAACGGGTTATTCATCTCTTGTAATTTGTTGACCTATTTAACAAATGGGTCATGTTCGAATAGAGTTTTCTAATAAAATTTTTTGTTAATCTTATCCTGCTCAGATTGACCTATCTAGCAATCCATTGTTAATTTGACATGGACAGACATGACCAATAAAAATCGATTTCCTAGCAGCTGAATGTTCGCTGAGCAAGTTTGCTGTTTGCATTGCATCATGCAGATTTTGAGCAATTCAGAATCTTTCCCAAGAGAGATTAGAGAAGAACACGTTCTGATGATAAAGGACTGTAGCAGGAGGAATTTCTAGTTGAGAAGTAATGAGGGGGTAACGTTCAAGTAACAACATAGAGAACTTACTTCGACATCATGCAGTAAAACTGTACCGTCTTCAAGTCCCAAGACAGTAACCTTGCCATCAGGACACCAGCATAATGATGTTATACATTTACCTGAAGCAGATTAGAATGATTAAGAGAAGCCAGTATTGACGACACAAATTGAAATGTGCAAAGAAAGTGAATCTATTATAAACAAAAAAGAACAGAGAGAGAGAGAGAGAGAATGAATAATTTGTTCCCAATAAAATTAACAGAAGAAGAGAAAAGATAGAGGGCAGACATTAACTGACAAAGTGTTAATCAAAATTTGTGAAGTGAGACAAAACGTCATAACTGTACAAAATAACTTAGAGGGATATCAGTCACTTGATATGGGATTTCTTTGGGCTAGCAGGTCATCTAAAGCAAGGGAATCTATATCTTGTCGGCAGTCTCCAATCCAATATCTGAATCAAAAAAACAAATCTTGTTGTTCAACTATGGAACCTCAAGGTGGAGTGGATGCACGAAAGCTTACTTCAGGCGAGGATTACAAGTGTACTAGTATTTACAACTTAGGATCTTAAGAGAAACCATTCAAGGATTGGCACGAGTACTATAGTGCACTCAAAACGTTCTCCATATCCAGAAGACAATATGACGAGCGAAGCATTCAGATGCTTCTGGAAAAAAAATCTCCACTCTAAAGTTTTCCAGTGAGAATAAGACAGCAAGAACTACCAAGGCTGGGCATCTAATCCTAAGCTCTTACTAATTTGAATTACCAAAAGATGAAGTCATTTAGGATCTTAACATACTTGGATGCAGCTCCCCTTACCCTCCTAGTCTCTTTGCTTTCTCCAATTCCTCCCTCCGTCCCTCTCGACCAGACTGTCACACAAGTACGCAGCAGAGCTCGAGATATATCCTATTCAAAAGTTAAGACTCCCACCAGAGAACTTGTATTACCATCATTCACTCTTCATTTTTGTGGGTAAAACACCAATTCCTTAAGTCCAACGTGATCTTCTCATTTAGACATTCAAGCACTTTACCTCTATGTTCGTCCAGTTCTCCATCGAATGCAATTTAAACCAAAAGTAGCACATATAGGATAAAAGCGAAAGAAGCAAAACGAGATAAGGCCAATGAGTCGGAGGGCACAGGAAGCCATCGTTGAAGAAACGAACACACTGAACAAAGAAAAAAAGAGAACTTTTCTCGATTGGAAGCAATTACCGGGAGAGATTGTCCACAGCCTCTGCCAAATGAAGCGACGAAGCACCCCACCTTCCCGTGAGTCCCTCCGTGAGACCATGGCCAGCAAATCCTTCTCCGGAATTCCACTCACGCCATCTTCACCTGCCAACCGCAGAATCGAGCCACAACCTCACAAAACGGAATCGGAACAATCGAATCGGCCACGCCCATTAGGAGGTCGCGACAGGAACGCCCAAACGGGAGCCGAACCTGAGAAGCGCACGCCGCGACCCTTCGTCGGTCTCCATCAGCTCGAAAAAGCTCCGGAGGCAGCGGAAAATGCAGGAGCCAACCAGCTGCTGGAGCGAACCGCGAGGGAGCGTACAGAAGCGTCGGCGGCTAGTGAAGAATAGAGCTAGTGAAGGAAGTCCCAGTGGAGTCTTCGAGAATTTGCAGAGGAAAAAAATTGCAGAAACGAGGAACGAATAGGCGGGAGACAAAATAAGGAATAGATAGACAGAGTTTTGATTAATGGGCGGACCCGACCCAGGCCGGATCGGGCCAAAACTGCCCCTTTGAGGCCCGGGTCCCCGGCCCGACAGACTACTGATCAGAATAATTTAGAAAATATTTTCCTAAACACTTTCATCATTAACATTAATTCGTGCCAAAACATTTTTTTTATTGATAATGAGAATATTTCCCGTTACCTCTTTTCCTAAGATATATAAATGATCGAAATTAGGGAAATCTTCTCTAAATTATTGATTTTTCACGACACGAACGGAGCCTTAGAGAGTGTCTTTGTATGAGCTAGTTTGCTCCGAGTGTTTTGTAGTGGCGTGAGAAATTCAATTGTAATAGTGAGGTGCGGTCTTTCGCTAGTCATAGTGTATATTAGGGGTGTGAGACAATAATTTTTTGTGAGTATTATGTTTGTACCAGTATATGTGTGTTTCGAGTTGTCTGTTACAATTTCATCGTATTACTAGCACCTCGCTTTCGCACCCATCAATTGGTATTAGAGCCATGCTTCAGTACTCAATACGTGGTATCAAAGCTAGACGGTCAGGGATTGGCCGGACTTCGCCCAAGTCTTTGTCCATATGCCAGGTCAAGGCAAGCGATGACGTCATCAGGAGGATTCTGACAGGCAGCCATGTTCTCGAGTACTCGACGATCGAAAGTTGGGTGCAACGGGAGGGGACGCATCAACATTTAATCGAGAAACTTGAAAGAGCTCGTCAATGACGGGTGTTGGCCACTTGAAGCTATACGATCCGCCGTTAAGATTCTCGCTCCTCGTTTGTTGTCATTGCAAGTGACACGGCGTTTTCCACCGTACGAAGGTTGGAATAGCCGAAGCCTCGCGGTGATTCTTCTTGCCAGTTGAAATTAGAAGCGCTCTCATGAAAGATAAGAGGATTACAAAGAATGTCAGGAGAATTGGTACCGCAAATATCATCACCAGGAGAAGCCTGTCAAATAAGCACCATTTGAATTTTTTTTTACCAAAATGTAAGCTATATTTTTTAACTTGCGATGAACTATGCAGAACCTTGAAGCTGACTTTTATTGCCTGAGCATCTTCGGAAGCCAGAGAATATCTTTAAAAAATAGGACTGTACTGCCAACATCAAACCTTTCAGATTGAGGCAAACTTCACAAAACCAAGTCGGAACAATTGAGTCGACAGCCCATTACGTGGCAAGAGAACACCAGGAGCCGAACCTGAGAAGCCAGCGGTTTATCGAACGGAAGCTGAAATGGAAGCACGCGCCGCGGTCCTTCGTCAATCTCCATAGCTAAAGAGCTCTGCGAGCAGCCGAAAAACGCGGCACCAGCGCGGGAACAAATCGCGAGGAGCGTACAGACGCGCCGATGGAAAATGCGAGCTGAAAGAGAGCTTGGGAAGGATAGAGCTCGAAAAACCCAGAGGAAGGTTCGAGGCTAGTTAGGGAAGGATAGTGCTGAAGAGCGAGACCAAGAATGGAAGAGCGAGGGAGTAAGGAAGTCCACTGGAGTCTGAAACTATGCAGAGAAAATTGCAAGAAGAGGAACAGGCGGGAGAGAAAATGCGGAAGAGAGAGAGAAGACATGATTACAGGAGTGGTGGCGGACTCATTTGATTGATGGGCGGGCCGAGCTAGGCCGGATCGGGCTACATGCCGGACTGAACTTGTTGTCGGGGCTCGTTCATCATGAAGAAACGTATGTGATTTCGGAACGAGCCAGGTTGCCAAAGTGTTGGGTTTACTTGCAACGGCAGTGGGCCACCTTGCTCATGCATCGGTTATCGAATCAAGCTCTCGTAATCAAATTGAACACAATCTATTTTCCAGTTAGGCAAATCCCTTGCACAGAGTGGGAGAAATAATATGACAAGAAAAGGGCATTAAAAGAGTACATGAATCTCCCTAAAATTTAATTGGTTATCAAATGCGATCATTGACTCCACGAGGATTGCTCCTGTTAATGACAAGGAACGAGACCAATTATCGGGAATTTTTTTTTGAAAACTAAATAATTCGTAGGATGAATAAAATATTTAAGAGATTAGTTTCCTTTTCAACACAAAATAGTAATAATTAATACAAAAAATTCATCACCTTGTATCTCTCTCACATACGTAGCCCCATCCACCGCCCGATATTTTTCTGTCTTGGGACAAGAAGAATCCAAAGTCAACATAAGCGCGCTCACCACGTAATTACTTGGAAAACTCTTTTTATTCTAAGTCAACAAGCCTTGGGGAAATCATACTGGCTCAAGTACGCCACAATGTAATGCGTTTTTATTTATTTATTTATTTACTCAATAAAACAATGCTCTTCAGACATAACTCCAGTCCAAAGATTTGTATTATGAATTGATTGAAATATTAAAAATCCAATATATTAATTACTTCATTCTACAATAGAAAGTAGCTTTATTCTGACATCAACTTGTGACAATGCAAGCTAAAAGAATTGTCAATGCTATTTATATACCAACAGTCCAAACTAAATGTCAATACTTGAAATTGTGGAGTGTGGCATGAGCACTCTTTTTCATAGTATTAATTTACAATACTTTATAAGTGCTAAATTATCTCATTAAATTCAAGAGCTTAACTGCATTATTCTCTAAAGCTAATCAACTCTAGCTCATAAGTTAGCGTACTTTGCCTCAATTGCATCTAACCTAAAAGGCAACAAACATGAATATAATGTATCCGCCTATACATATTTACCACTCTAATAGGAAAGTATTAGGTATATTTACCATGTTAACTGTTGCGATACTAACACATTCAGCATATCAATAAATACAGTTGTCGATCATTAGTTTGACGCAATAAAGTTGACCTCTGATTACAATAAACACAATTTTATTGATCTCGATACAATATTGTTTGGTAAACCAAAAGCAACGCCATGTCTTTACGTTTTTAAGTTTGTCATATTGATAATTCATTATATGCATGCTATTTAGTTATGTAAATGTTGCTTTAAGTTTGTATTTGCATTGTACATTTTTTCACACTTGTTTTTACGACATCATATCGAACGAAAGTTTGACAAACATCTTGGCCCTCCAAATAAATTTACTTATGAAGTCTAGTCTAGACTAGGGCTTCTGCAATGTCCTTGGCCTGGATTAAACTTGCTGGAAAGGGGAAGATCTTCATAGGCTCTCTCAATCTTCCTAGAACAGAGCAGAAATCCAATCCTCGAGAGTAGAGCAGCCAGTATGTGTGGCAGGCCAACCTCAGGCCAAACAACAAAAAGCTTCAGATATTTGTTCTGTATCGAAGTCGGAGGTGTCATCTCTGAAGTGACCAACAGAAGTGAAATCTAGCCTAGGAGATGGCATAAACATCTAGAACTTTCACAAGCATAACTTCACCTAGTATAGTAGTTTACTCAACTAGCCCATTACTTTCAGGCAATACTGATTTACTGCCAGTATGCCATCAAATCCATTTATTAAAAAAAACTGCAGAAAGAGAAGCAAGAACAAGGAAAGGACTCATCGACTAAATCTGATAGACCATACTGCTAAATATTTAATTTGAATAGAGAGGACGCTTACAATATTTTCCAATCAGAAAGACACCAAATATACTGAAGCACAAAACCCCATCTTTATCTCCATTGCAAAGGATATGGAAACATTGCTTTGAAGAATTTGAGAGCTTTACAAATGAATCTTGAACATCGTCAGTTAAACTAGCATCTCCGGGTGCTAGTCCAAGCATGATAGGAACTCTTGGAGCCAGAGGGAAGAATCGAGTAGTGCGATCTTCAAATGCCAAAGAGTATCCAGAAGCATTCTATAAAACAAATGAATAATTAATTTCCAGTTGGAAAAAAAACAGATGAAAAAAATATTATATTAAAGCTAAGGAGCCAAACAAATCAACGAGTTATAGATGACACCAAACATACGCTTTCAAAAATTCTTCCATTTACCCATACTAAGCTATTGGACTGTGTAATAAGATTCTAAGTTTGAAAAAGAAGTATTTGAGAAAACCAGACTAAAATAACTACTTAACTGCAAACAAAGCATTATGACAGGTGTGAGCCATAAGATATCCGCTATTGGTAATAAAGATCACAAAGTCGTATCAACTTTTAAGTTGAAAGATGAAACTCCTACTATTTGACACACCACAACTGCCATATGGGACTTCAAGCTTCTTAACAGTTTTCCATTCTGCGTAATATTTATACCATGTCAGAAATGATTATACCACAGTGTGCATAACTGCTGCAAGCACCAGCATATCAAAAGCAGCACACCGCATATCCATAGTTCCATAAAGACAGCTACTTTGGTAAGAGAGCATTCATCATGCACAAACAATTTCACTTCTCAGTAAAATGTAATCCATGAAGTGGACTATTAATAATAAACTGGTAGAAATCTCAAAGAAACAGAATTGCAGCAGCCTCAGCCAAGTTCTCAGCCATTCTACTCATGGCCAGGCAGCTATAGCTTAATAAAAACATAACCAGATACTTACAAACTTTTCCACCCACAAGCATAATCGAGGCACATACAAATCCTCTCTTTTAAAAGTCACCTAAATTATTACCTTCCTAATTTGACTGAACTGAACATATTTTACTAATAATTGAAAGAAGCTATTAATCTTGATGAAAATGAGCAAGTCACAGATGAATGCTTCTATAAGAAACCATCCACTTAGACCATAGATTCTCACAATGAGCTGGACCCCCGTAAACACTATCCTGTAATTTTTAGTTGTCATTCAAAATAGTTTCAATCATTGATGACAACATTAGCAGCGAGGTGAAATTTTTTTGTCCTACACAAGAATGCAATTGAGCACATCAATCAGATTCAAGTCCTAAAGTATATAAATCTATTTAATGAGTATATTCAATCTGTATGATATGTGATTAAAGTAATTCACCACTGATTCACCGATTAAATATGAGTCAATCAATTTCCTTGATTCATAATTTAACTCATCCATCAACAATGTAGTGCCAAAAACATTTTATGGCTTTGATGTAGGACAATGAGTCCCACCACAAAGAATGAATTTTTAGGCATCACACGCAAAACTGCATAAGCATCATGCCTAGAGTTTCTTAAACATCACACCAAAGAGGAATTGCATCACACTATCTGCAAAGCAAAAACTTGCCAAGTTCAATAAATTATCAACTTTGAAAAGTAAAAATTACAACTATATTTGGAGACTCTCTAAAAGTTCTTCTCCTAGTTGAAATAGAAAACCTCTAAACAAGAAACATAATTGGAGTATACATAAGATCCTACTACTCAAACTTAATAAACAGCAAAAAGAAAAGAAAAGGAAACTTCATAAAATCCTAATAATACTCAAATCCTAGTTGATAATTTTAGTGATTAAACTTCAAGAAGAATCTTGATCCTTATTCGAGTTTCAAAGTCAATCTTCCCCAAAAACTTGGTAGTCATCTTGCATTATTTAGTCGGCTGCATCAGGCTTAGTGGGTGGTTTGATTGTCTTATACTATCTATGAATGGGAATCCAATTACAATACTATGTACAAGATCTTTGTGTCCTTGCAGTCAAATGGGTACTTATTTGACAAAAGATAAATAATTTGTAGCAATATCTCATGTCTTGTAATCATAACATCAGTCGAATTTGAAGTATCTTTATCATTAGTTATTACCTAACATTAAGAATAACACCATACTCTACAATTGATTTACATCTGTCATGGAACACCAATCTCAATCATTATATCAGATTTTATGATTCCATTGGATGAAATTCACGACCCACAATCCATAGATTTATTTTTTAGATTAATGACTCATATTTCCATGTGACAACTAAGGGTGACCCTAAGTGGTTATCATGTCATTCAAAATTGTGGCTACCTACCTAACACAATAAATAAATGAATATTGTTCCGGGTTCAAAGCTCAAACCGCAAAACACAAATTGACTCGTGTAATCTATCTAACTAAACAATAGTGCCAACTTGATTAACAACCTGACCTATCTTGACTCTTTATATTTAGTTCAGTAAGTTCTCAGATAAGAAATCAGACATGACTTTTGCTTGCATAGTGGTTACAAATTACAATTTGATCATACCATATAAATATAAAATTTCATGTAAACCTAGGATTTTGTCAGCTTACGACTAGTTTATTTTCAAACTTACTTGACATTGATGAAGATATGCATATTGTACATATGCCATGTCAGTTGAGTTAGGATTGGAATGACCTATTCAATCTAATTAGTTAAACAGGTTATTCATCTCTTGTAATTTGTTGACCTATTTAACAAATGGGTCATGTTCGAATAGAGTTTTCTAATAAAATTTTTGTTAAGCTTATCCTGCTCAGATTGACCTATCCAGCAATCGATTGTTAACTTGACATTGACAGACATGACCAATAAAAATGGATTGCCATCTCCATTAGCAGCTGAATGTTCGCCGACCAAGTTTGCAGTTTGCATTGCATCATGCAGATTTTGAGCAATTCAGAATCTTCTCAAGAGAGATTAGAGAAGAACACGTTCTGATGATAACAGACTGTTGCAGGAGGAATTTCTAGTTGAGAAGTAATGAGGGTAATGTTCAAGTAATAACATAGAAAACTTACTTCAACATCATGGAGTAAAACCGTACCGTCTTCAAGTCCCAAGACAACCTTGCCATTAGGACACCAGCATAATGATGTTATACATTTACCTGGAGTAGATTAGAATGATTAAGAAGACACCAACATCATGCAGTATTGAAGACACACATTGAAATGTGCAAAGAAAGGGAGTTCATTATAAACAAAAATGAACAAAAGAGAGAGAGAGAGAGAGAGAGAGAGAGAGAGAGAGAGAGAGAGAGAGAGAGAGAGAGAGAGAGAAAGAGAGAGAGAATGAATAATTTGTTCCCATTAAATTAACAGAAGAAGAGGAAAGATAGAGCACACATTAACAGAGAAAATGTTAATCAAAATTTGTGAAGTGAGGCAAAACGTCATAACTATACAAAATAACTGAGAGGGATATCGGTCACTTGATATGGGATTTCTTTGGGCTAATAGGTCATCTAAAGCGAGGAATCTACATCCTGTTGGCAGGCTCCAATCCAATATCTGAATCAAAAGACAAATCTTTTTGTTCAACTATGGAGCCTCAATGTGGAGTGGATGCACGAAAGCTTACTTCAGGCAAGGATTACAAGTGTACTAGTATTTACGACTTAGGATCTTAACAAAAACCATTCAAGGATTGGCTCAAGTACTATAGTGCACTCAAAATGTTCTCCATATCCAGAGAACAATATGACGAGCAAAGCATTCAGATGTTTCTGGAGAAAAAATCTCCTCTCTAAATTTTTCCAGTGAGAATAGACAGCAACAACTATCAAGGCCAAGCATCTAATCCTAAGCTCTTACGAATTTGAATTACCAAAAGATTAAGTCGTATAGGAACTTAACATACTTGGATGCAGCTCCCCCTACCCTCCAAGTCTCTTTGCTTTCTCCAATTCCTCCCTCCGTCCCTCTCGACCTGATTGTCATACAAGTACGCAGCACAGCATGAGATGTATCCTATTCACAAGTTAAACTCCCACCAGCGAACTTGATTAATCAAAATGATGTGATGAAATGCCCCTCTGTAATGAAAAGAAGATTAATCAAACTTCAAGCAATACAAAACGTGAGAAACTTTCCGCCTACAGTCTATATTTCAGTATCCACTAAATCTCTCCTTGTTTGTAGGGCACGCACAGTCAGTAAAAGAATGCTCGATCAGTAAAAGAAGAGGAGCCAGCAGTAAAATTACATTTGCGAGAGTCACCATCAGAAATCTAAGAAGATCTTTTTAGATGCCTGATGAACATTTAGATGGTATTCTGCAGGGGCTAAACCTGCCAACTCCAAGTGGGGCATCAAGCATTTCTGCATCTGACATAGCTAACCTATCTAGCATAAATGGCAACAACCTGGTTGAGAAGTTGATAGAAATCAATTGCGCCTATAAATAAAATCCCTCCATTCAACTAATACCAGCTTGGAATTCTTTTACTTGCAACTAAGCCGTCTCTAGATTTCCACTCGCATCACCATCATTCACTCTTCGTTTCTGTGTAAAAGACCAACTCCTTAGTTCGATGTCACCTTCTCATTTAGACTTGCACGCACTTTATACCTCTATTATTCGTCCAATTCTCCATCGACCGCAATTCGAGCTAGATTGGCAATTACATTTTGGTTCCTCTCGGGAAAAGGAAGCGTGGCACATTTAGGAAAAGCGAAAGAATCAACATGAGGAACGAACACACTGAATTAAAACTAAAAAAAAAAAGAGAGAGAACTTTCTCGAATCGAAGCAATACCGAGGACTCAGGAGAGATTGTCCACAGCCTCTTGCCAAATGAAGCGACGAAGCACCCACCTTCCTTCGAGTCCTCCGTTTGACCATCGCCAGCAAACCCTTCTCCGGAATTCCACTCACGCCATCTTCACCTGCCGCCAACCGGAAGAAATCGAACAACGACCTCACAAAATCGAATCGGAAAACAATCGAATCGACCAGCCCATTAGGAGGTCGCAAAAAGAACGCCCGAACGGGAGCAGAGCCGAACCTGAGAAGCCAAGCGGGGCTTGTCGAGCTCGAAGCCGAAACGGAAAAGCACACGCCGCCGATCCTCCTTCGTCGGTCTCCCATCGCTAGAGAGCTCCCACTTCTTCTAAGGACACGTTTCGTTCCACGTTGGAATATGAACCTTTCGAATCATTAATAGGTTAATTCTTATAATAATCACGCCCAGACGCGAAAAAGGGAGAAACGCTGCGTTCGAAGCAATAAGGCTCTTGCAAAAAGGGAAGCGTAGCACCTTTGGAAATTCGTTCCCGTGTAAAAAAGAACTTTCTCGAATCGAAGCAATACCCAGGAGAGATCCTCCACAGCCTCTTGCAAATTGAAGCGAGGAAGCACCCCCCACCTTCCTTCTGAGTCCTCCGTGTGACAATGGCCAGCAAATCCTTCGCCGGATTCCACTCACGCCATCTTCACCCGCCCGCCCGCCAAATCGGAAGAAATCGAGCAACAGCCTCACCCAAAACCGAGTCGGAACACAATCGAATCGGGCCCGCCCCATCAGGAGGGAGCCGAACCCGAGAAGCCCCCAAGCGAGGTTTGTCGAGCTCGAAGCCGGAACGGAGGCGCGCATGCCGGCGGCCCACTCTTCGTCGGTCTCCCATCGCTAGAGAGCTCCGGGGGAGCAGCCGAGAACCGCAACCCAACCAGCTCACCTGCGAACGAATCGCGAGGGAGCGTACGGGAAGCAGCGTCGGTGGCAAATGCGAACCCGAGAGTGGGAGGGAAGGAGGGAGAGAGAGAGCTCGTGAAGGATTAGAGCTGGAAAAGACCACTCTCTGATCTAATCTAATCCAATCGAATTCTTACATTTTTTTTTGGGGAAAAAACCACAAAAAAAAAACCTAAACTTTACCCACCGTAACATTTTTATTCTAAACTTATATCAATGTGATATATATGCCCCAAACTTTTTCCTGTCATACCAAAAACCTTCAAACTTATACATGAGTGATATATTTATTCTAAACTTTTCTTTTACGACGCCATAAGACCAAACTTTTTTCTTGTGACATTAAATTTGTAGAATAAATATATCACACTGATATAAATTTGAGGTTTTTGATGTCAGAAAAAGAAATTTGAGGTAAATGTGTCGAACGAGGCGTACTTATGATTTTTTGGTGACTTTTATCTTTTTTTATTTTATTTTGATTGAAAGTTTGTAGGGGACTTTACAAGATTATTTTATGTCCATTTGTTGAAAAAACATGGGAAATTCAACTGTTGCTATTTCTTCTACTTCTTCTTCTTTCTTTTGTTTTTTTGGCCCTTTTGTCAATTTCAAAGCCGAATTAAAAGTTTGATGTATCATTCGCTCTTTTGAAAGAAAAGAAATGGCTTGCTTATCACGGGCATTGTGGTCATTCCAAGTAATGAATGCTTCGTGTGCTTTATTTCCGAAACTTGAAAACTTTATGTTAATCTATGCTCATAATTAGTTAATCTATCTATTATAGCACAAATACGTGGACTTTTATGGACAATTCTGTCATACTTAATGGAACATTTAGAATTGTCTTCGACAATTTAAATGACACGTCATTGTTTTTTTATTAATCACGGACAACGCATTAACGCGAATGTGGTGAATCAGTTACTTTTGAAAAAAAAAGAAATAATGCTAATGAATTATTCAAATCGGCATATTAAGAGAGCAAGCATTCACACACTGCTCAAATGTCGAGACGACGGGCCAAGCTCGAACTTGACCAAGCCATTCGCCATCACCACCCAAGCTCCAAACACTCGGCCCGATAGAAATACTTGAACATGTTGTTAAATCGACATGGGTCAACCGCCCATGAAGATATTTGTTGAGACAATTGAAATGACTCGGCACTTAGCATGTCCGCGAATGGTATGCAGCCCTTAGTTTTTTCTTAATGAGGATTCACTTTTAACCGGAGACGGAAGGAATTCGTAACTGATGTTCGGCAATTCATGGTTGCTATTCCTATGTATGCCTTCGAAAAAAGGCTTTATAATTGAAGGCTTGAAAGAGTAATTGTATTTCTTGCCGATGGGGTTGTAGACTTCGTTCACTAGATTGTGCGTCCTTGAACATGTTGAAGAGGAAGTTTCGAGCGACATTCTTTTGGAGGTTAGAGTGGATGATAGTGACAATTTGAACGAAATTTGTTGATAGGAGAATATTATCCTTTTGACGTCTTTTTATATATCTTCTCTATCTTCACTGAAAAATCAAATCATATTTCAAAATTACCAACAGCTATATCGGTGCCTTTCTTCTTTCCTATGCATAATTATAGTTATAATTGCAAAATAAGCAGTGGAATATGAGTAAACTCCTAATTTTTATTTATTAAAAGCGAAAATACTACAAAAAAAACACTAAACTAGGCCCAATAACCTTAATATCCCAACTATTTTTTTGTCGCCAAAACTCCCTATAGGGCCCATACTTGTACCAATGTGACAAAAATATTCTCTGTTTACCACAAAAAATCCTAAATTTTTCTCACTATGACGTCAACACTCAACTTTTTTTTTTGTGTGTGTTGCCAGTACCCTAAACACTGATACAAGTTTGGGAGGTTTTGGTGACAGTTAAAAAATACAAAAAATTTGGAGTATTTGCATCACCTTAAGTATTGTATAGGATCGCTGGTGATGTAATTAAAAGTTTGAGGTATCAATGTCATGGTGGAAATAATTTAGAGTTTTGAATGGTATTACCTCTTATTAAAAAAACGCTAAAAGGACATGTTTGATCCAGCTTAAGCTTAAAAAGGAAATGACCTCTCTATATATCCGCGCCGATATAAATGTTTTACTTTATTTTGAATTTCAAATAACGATGAGAAAGTTAAGGTAACTTAAAATTCATTATGATCAAGTAGAAGTCTAATTTCGATCCCACAACTTTTAGTTAAAACTAAATGTCAAAAAGAGAAAGCCACAATCCCACAAGCAGTAATATCATGTGTTCTCTCTCTTTTCGACACGTAATTCTCCCTCTTTTGACTCACAAATCGTCCGAATTCTCTCTCAGGATAGTTTCATTTCCATCCCTTTACATTGATAGATGGCACACGCCTTGCGGAATAACTCATTGTCATAGTAAGCTGAAATCACATAATCAAGCCAATATCGAAAGTGTTCTTTGAATGGGAACAGGACCGAGATCTGGCAAAGGAAGACTTATCAAACAGCAGCATCCTAATCCTGCATCTTTGGCCGAACCGTGTACCCCCTCCTTAGGACTCACCTGTCTCCTCGAAACTCGCCATCCACGCCCGTGCTGGCTCGAACGCTTTCTGATCTTAGGGGATGATACCACCAGTAGGTGTTGAAAGTCATTTGAAATAGGCGCACCCAGGTACGCAGGGCTATTTTCACAACTAAAGCCCTGGCTAACAAAATCAGTAGAGAGAGAGAGAGTGATGATTCAATGGGAAGTCCAGTCTACTGAATTTACAGCAACGGATGGCTTAGGTTGAGTTCAAGAGACGTTACATCAAAGCTATTACAATGTAGTGAAAATGCATTAAGCTTCATAAAAAGAAAAAAAGAGCACAAGGTAGTGAGGAAAAAGATCCAGCCATCCAGGAAGCCAAAATTATACATTGTTGTAACTTAATTTTGTCTACGGAATTTAAATAATGCATGGGATATAAAATTTGAATGATAAGAACAAGTGATCTGCACGTGATTGATGGGGCGTCTCATAGCTTTCTGTCCAAGCATATGCCTCACTTGGAAGTCTTCTTTTTACGAAACGAACTTCCCTCGACACTGTCGCCATCTCCTATGATAGTATAACATCCATTTTATGTTTTGCAAATGTCTACGCCTAATAAAGGTACGTAATAAAAAATGCTGAACCAGCTCACTTATTCCTTCAGGCACGCTACAACAAATACGAAGCCTTTCTCGATCTCAGTTTCACCAACACCAGCTCTTGCCCCTCTCACTCTCAATCCAAAAGGTATTCTCTTTTTCATTCCGTTGTCCTATAAATACAGCTTTTGGGCTGCGCCACTAATCCAGAAGTACCCCAGAATCCCATATGAAACTTAAAAAAGCCGGAAGCCAAAGTGTGAAAAAGCCTCATGTTTTACCTGTCTTGGCTTCCGATGTAAATATCAATTGGTATAGTGTAAGCATTCTCATTCAAGCATCTGTCGGGTTGCGGTGAAGGATGAAATAAGACCTGCGGCCTGCACAGGTAAAACATCACTGAATGTCGATAATGCGGCAGCTGAACTGTCCTTGAATATGCCCACTTGACCATCAGTCAGGATGGATCCCAGTTTCAATGTGTTCTCTCCAAATCTGCTGCCAACCTGGCCAATTGGGAGAGAAAATAATAGCAGATGCTTGTCATAGAACATGGAAAAAAACTTTCTTTCGAAAACACCTAGCCAAATATCTGACATCTCTGAAACTAAAATCTTCTCACAATTACAATGTTTGGCGAAAAGCCAATGTCTACTCCCAATGCACCAAAACAACATGAAGTACATGGCACTATCTTGGTGCACAACTATGCAAACAAGCTCAAAAAAGGAAAAAGGAAGGCCAAAGTTATAAACTTCTATCACCACTTTCAGACAGTTACACCACTGAGTTTTCTTGCACTGTGTCCCAGACTATTGGTACTTATTACATTCCATGTCACAAATGACTTGGTTAACTCAAACAGTAATGCATGCAATGAAACAGAAAACCCCCAATAAACACCCTGACAACCAAAGATATAATCAAATTTAAAATTATGAGTTTCTCCAAATAAGAAAATATCAAAGCTGAAAGATTAAGTCCAAATAGAGCTTAGAAAGTTAGACATATCATCTCCAACACAGATGTTCACGACACAGCTCTATAAAGCAGGTAGATGACTAGCCAAGGACATGATAAAATAATATATAACAAGGAAAAGAAAGAGAAGCAAAAGAAAGAAAGCACACTCACCTGCATAAAAGACTTCAACAATGCAGCTTGCAACTCCAGAAGACAATCTGTCGTCCAAATCATTTATTCGAGAAATTTCTCCATTACTATAAGATTTCCAACTCTTCGATGAAAAACCTTCTATAGAAATACCAGTAGTTGCTTTAGATGTCGTCCTTGAAGACAATGCAGGTACACTGCAGACATAATTCAATAACAAGAGACGCTTTTCTTGAGATAATCTGGTCACAAAAGCTCAAATATTTATCCTGCAAACACAAACATATGGAAAGGTATATTTAACCTGATTGGAAGTATTTAAACCGGGGAACTGTGGAGCATCTCGTAATATTTGATTCCGCATTCCAGGGCAGTTTCTGCACTGTATCCACATACAACCGATTAAGTTGTACAAAGTACCTGACGAGG